GTCAAACAGAGTTCACCCCTCCTGGTTGTCTGTGTTTGTCGACTGTCAAAGAGCCACTTCTGGGTAAGATTTTCTTTTCTCCACTATCTCTTTTTGCTTGAATTAATTTTTGATTATTCTTTGTGTTCCTCTTTACTGATTTTCAACATTAAACAATGTAATTTAGCCATAAAAATCACCTAACTCAAGGACCACAGGACCTAGCAACAAATCTATTTCCAATAATGTAAATTAGAGCACTCTGGCTGTGATGCATTTGGCTTCCTAAATTCTGCTGAAGTCCAAAGTAAGAGCTTCAGTGCACAGCCAACATGCCTCAACGAAAAGTGCAGAAAATTTAAGATATGTATATTTGGAGATTTTCCAGTGTAAATGGAAGATCCAGGCTCTTTTCCTGTATCAGAACATTTTCTGGGTTCAGTCTTGAGGCAGCCATGTTGAAGCATCTTCCTCACTGTTTCGGACGTGCATTTTGGATCCCGTTTTAGGCATTCATGACAAGTCTAGACCTGGGAAATGTTGCTTTGATTCTAGAATAGAACCCAGTTCTACCACTTAAACTTTGGAAAACATCCAGTTGCTTATCTCCTAAATTTACCACTGAAACCTTAGAGGACTTCTGTCACTTTTTGGGATGAATGTCTGCCTTTTATAATCAGAATTTTTCTTCTTTTTTTTTGTTAAATGGCTGATTTTGCAGGCTGATTTTTTTTTTTTTTTTTTTTTTTGCCTCCCTCACGTCCCGTGTTTTCTCTTTTTACTATTTCCTCTGGCGCCTGTCGGGCTGTGAGGCCTCAGAACAACTATCTCCCCTCTCCCGCTCCCTCCCCCTTGCATTGTTGCGTGATGCATGGTTGTAACTGAAACTGCAATTTCATTGTCTTTGTGACAATGACAATAAATTCTTCTGATTTTACGATTTCAGGGATTATCTTACAATAAATATGGTAAATTCACCCATTCTTCATAGAAAGGTTGTCTTTTCCACATTAGAGAATATTCAAGTTGTACCTTGTAACTAGGATAAATTTTTATTTTATTTTATTTTTTATTTTTTTGGTGTTATTGTACTCTTCTATGGCCACATAATCTTTTATTTACCTCCTTTATTGACTCAGATGAATTTTTTTTTTTTGTTTTGTTTTGTTTCATTAATTAATTTATTAAATGTTTAAAAACTTGCCACACACTTACTGCCCCTGCGGAAAACTGGAAGTTAATCAAACCCAATGAACATTTAGTCTGGTTCATTAGGACCAAGACTACCAGGCTTTAATTTTTTTTTATTTTTTTGTCTTATTTGTACTTTAAAAAGTCTTACAAAAAAGCCACCAATGCAATATGTAGCCAACTGAGAAATGAAAACCAGTACGTGTGCGAATGAAACCGTTTCCAATATGGATAAAAAATGTCTGTCCAGGGCTAATAATCAAGGAGGGACTTGTGAACTCACCTCCTGCTTCTTTCCAGGTCCTCCATTCACACACCAAGTCACCCCAGACCACATGATCTACTACGGTCAGTCTTCATGCGAGACGGACTTAGACGGATACCTCGAGTCTCTGAAGTCCTTATGGCGCAGGCGTCCACAGAGCAGAGAAATACCCGTCATAATTAACACCATGGGCTGGGTCAAAGGTCAGTTCAGGCTCCTCACCATACTGACAACGAAACACTGTTAAGTTCTCGAGCCACATTAAAACCACGTGTGTTTGCAGGATTTGGGTTCCAACTGCTGGTGGACCTGATCCGCTTCCTGCCCGTCACTCACGTCGTCCAGCTCAGCCATGGAGTCTCCACCCAGTGTTCTTCCCTCACGCCGGACTTTCTGAGGACGGCACAGGGTTATCAGACGCACCCGACCACTCAGACCGCCCTGGACGAGTTCACGGAGAGCCACTGCCCCCCCAAAACGTACACACACCTCCACGTACAGTCAGAGTTTGAAGGCGTGGCACGCCAAGGGACGGCGTAAGTACAATATAAATTCTACACGGAGCGACTGGGGGACATGTCGAGGCGGCTCAGTAACCTCTCGATGTATTTTACAGAACACACCAGAGGTCGAATGAGCACAGAGAGTTGTTGTTGCTGGGTTACCTGAGTCAGCTGCAATCTGATGACTCTGGACCAGTTAGACCACTGCACACCCTCACCCCATACCAGGTAAATTATTAGAGATGCACCAGTCCTTTAATAGCAGTGTTGATCTGTCTGATTTTGGACACATGACTTAAATTTACAATATTTTACAATGTCATAAAGATCAGATCAGTTTGTCTTGCGCATCACAATAACGATGAAAGGTTTTATTTCCTTTTTACCATTTTTGTTTGTAGATGCTAAACACAGTTGTTGACTCTCCTGCAGGTACCTAACACAGCAGTGGCTTTGGGTGTTATCCACTGTGAGGTGGCACCCTCTCACATGTTTTACGCCGTCAACGCCAGTCTGGTGGGACTCTGCTGCTTGGCAGAGAAAGTAACAAGCAAAGGAGGGCCCGTCATCCTGTCCCAGGCGACGCTTTGCCCATGTGTGGGGTTCGGTATGTTTTCTATCTTGACTTTTTACATTCGATGTCATTTGGGCCTTCTTGATTTTGACAAATCAATAGAAGTTGAAGGCTTAGGTTGTGAGTTGAATGTCTGTGTCATATCTTCCAGGTGTTCTTCGAGGTATTGACACGGCACGAGGTCTGTACTTCTTGCTGACTCCTGTAGATCCCTCCGTCCTCAGAAAGGTCAACTGCCTCCTCTTGGGGGCGATTTCTTTGCCTTCGTGCATCCTAACTGAACAGGTCTGCTGCCGGTTCATTCAGCGTACTTATCAAAGTAATGCATGCGTGTCTGTATTTGTTTTAACTGATGAGTGTTTCTCAATTTCAGCCCGGCTTTGAGAGCGAGATGCCATATGTCACTGCAGACTACAGCTTCGATCTGACTGGTGCAGGGAAGATACGAGTCTTCAAGGGCCTGATGAGGCCCAGTCTGATGGGAGTGAAGTGACCTGACATAATCAGTTTATTAGCCTTTACATTTCTTGACTTGTCTTGAATCAGACTGGTCGTCGCTGAGCTGTGAATGTGCAGAACTGAAGTTGAGTTGCCCTGCAGGAGGCGTTCACTGCAATCTTTTATAGTGAACATTATCTCTGGCAAATTCAGGTGCTTGGATAACAGACTTACAGTTGTCTACTGTACCTCTGGAAAGGAGTTATAAGCTGCTGCGTATCTCATGGACACTGATGTATAACATGATACCTTCTTTTAGTTTTTGTTTGTCACATTCCTGATCTTAAAAACCTGCCACATAATAAACAAAAAATACACTTTCTGCTGAGACTTCGTCCCTATTATTTTTGGATCAGTCATCCAACTTGTTAGAAGTGATCATATTTTATAGTTAAAACCAGATATTTCTGTACAGTGTATCAAAACACACATTTTCTCTGTCTCATATCAAACAGACAAAATATTTCCTATTTTAAGTCACATAGGATTACCAAACCGGTTAGATACCAGAATGATCAGAGGTTCTTTCTTATTGATGCCACCCATTTTCCGAAATGTACCAGTCCCTCCTGCAGCACATCTGCCCCGCAACATGATGCTGCCACCTCCATATTTCACAGTTGGGGAGGTGTTTTAAGTCTTGCGAGATTTGCAAATCACTGAATTTCGACATGGGAAAATAGGAACTCCCAAGCGAGACGCAGTTATTCTCACTTCTTCCTGAAGGGGGCAGCAGATATTTTGGTTTTGTTTTGTTGCTTTTAAACTGCAGCATACGTTAACTGACTCAAACTAGGCCTGAAGGGCAGGAAAGCCTCAAGAAAAGGAGTTGAGACGCCATTCTGAAATATTAATGTAGAATAGTCCTGCATGGTCCTTTTTAGGAGGAAGCTGAGACTTTTATTTTGTTGTCTTGAAAATAACTGATGAAACAAGCACTCAGCACAGAATTGCTAATATAAGTGGACTGTTTGAACAGCCCCATCTGCCCCCTCGCTTCTCTTTGTTTACTATTCACCACTCCTTTATTGAGGATGGGTGAGCACAAATACATTTTGGAGGAGCCTTTGTTTTGGCTTTGTCAGTCTCATATTTTCCACAAAGATTTTATGCAAACCAGATTGAAAATCCAGCTGCAGGGGTGTCATTAAAGATAAATGAATAGTTATGACAAATATCCATGTGTTCAATTTCCAAAGCACAGTCTGATTATTGTTTTGAGTACTCCATATTTAAAATAAGGATGATTTTAAATTCTAGCAACTATTATGTCAGGAATTACAATTTGTTATTGTGAGTCAACTGCAGATGTTATGATGGAATTAAAATTAACAAGAAAAACAGTAAAATTCTACTGACAGAGTTCCATACATTCAGTCATATTTACCCTTTTAATGATGCATTTTTGTTTTTCTGGGTTAAATTTATTTTATTTTAACAAAAAAAGGTGGTTCTAGCATTGAGAAACTGATGGACAATCTGTAGATAACAACCCCCAGCTTCTGTGGTATTATTTTAAATTATGAACTGCAACGCCCAAATATTAATCTAGTCGTTCCATCATTGCTTTATGTTTTTTTTGTGCTGACCTCCACTTACTTTTCTTCAATGTTGTCAAAAACTAAAGATAAACTACAAATAGCTAAATATACAAGTAAAAACAATAAGTTAACAGGCAAATTAAATAGGATCTAAATGAAAACATAAAAAAATAAGATTATTTAAATGAAAATATGAGGGGGAAAAAAACCCTGTAATGTGTTGATACCTTTTACAGGTAAGCAAAATATGAAACAGCTTAAATACTGATTGTATTTAAACTGTTCATCTTTAATTCTATTTTTATTTTTATTTTGTAAATCTGTCAAATATTTACAGTGGGATACTTGTTTTTGGGGGATGGGATCTCTAGCCTACCTTTTATTAATGTCTTTTAAATTGGTCACTAGGATTTCCAACCAACCAGAGAGGATCGTCATCACCTGTTCACAATCTGTAGGTCATTAGGCTGCTCCAATTATCCATCCTCATAAGGCCCAAAGGGGTTTTAATTGATTTTAAATATGTGGTGATTTTGGCATGACAGTGAAGTTCAAAGGTTCACCATTTCCCCCTTTTATATTTCATAAGACATAGTGCGTGCACAGAATAACTGAATGTTCAGTGGGTAGAAGTGTATAACCTGAATGAACCTCCGCTCTTGGCCACTAGAGCGACAAAGCAACGAGTCATTTTGAAAGCCCAGTCAGTGTGAATGAATGGAGGAGAGCCGGATGGTCGATCGGAGACTCCACAGAGCAAACTAGGCTTCACTCTCAGCTGTGCGCCTTGCGTAAAGTTGCTGTAAGGAAATCATTCCTCAGAGCTGCGGGTTTAAAGGCCACCGGACAAGATTTTCGTCCTCTAAATCCCATCATTCCCATACAGACCGAGCTTCACCAGTTGAGCTTTATTGTTTCCCCCCTACCAACGTCGAGGAGCTCTCTGCTTGTTTTTCCTGCAACAGGTTATTTACCGCTGTGCGCCGCGTCCAGCCTGCAGCCCTGATCCCCAGCGCTGGTTAGTTCAGGTAACTTTCTGCTGCTGTGTGCGAAGAGCGATGCTTTTCTTTGCGATCTGAGCTGCATGCAGCATTGTGCTCCACACCGAGCCGAGCTGGTCTGAACCACGCAACCCGAGCCCACCGATCCGTCTAGTGTGGTAGCAGGAGCGAAATGAAAATGGCCCCAACAATGAGACAGCCGAACAAACAGTAGAGTCCGATCCGTGTGGAGCTTCGAAACGCCGACAAAGACCCGAGAAGTACCTGGTTGTTAGGCGGCGGAGGAGGAGGAGGGTTCTGCAAGGAGGGATTGATGGTTCCGAACAAGTGGAGCATGAATTCGGTTCTGCACAAATCGCCTCCAAGGAGCTGGCTTGGGCTCCGGTTAAGACTGAGTGAGTAGCCTACGTGTTTGTTGCATGTGTTGGTGTACCAGTTGGACACAGTGGACAGGTCAGCGTGTTAAAGTCAAGCTTACTTAAGTTACTTGGACCAGGGCAATTCTCCAGGATCCAGGGTGGGATCCACCAGTTCTGTGTGGCCCGGATTCCTCTGGGCATCATGGTTCTTATAAGTTTTCGTGACCAAGAGTTTACCAGACTGACTACAAAGTTTTCAATCCAGTTTTAGACATTTCTCCTGTAAATGCAGGAATTCTGTCAAGGTCATGCTTTGAATACAAACCTTGCTGGACAGTTTGTAAGATGGATGGTTGAGGAAATGGATGGATGGATGGATGGATGGGTGGATGAGCAAGGAAATGGCTGGATGCATGAGGAAGGGGATGGCTGGGTGGATAGATGGGTGAGCAAGGAAGTGGATGAATGAGAGGACATGGATGGATGGATGATAAAGTGGATGGATGGATGAGCACAGAAATGGGTGGACATTGAAATTGGTGGATGGAACAAGGTGATGGATGTTGGATTGGTGGACAGATTTTGGGATAATAGATGGACAAACAGCGAGGTGGATCTCGCATTGATTTTCTGACAATGTGATGGGATATTAAGTCTGGAAATGGCTTTTTCCCTCTTTTTCTTTCTGTACTTGCCCAGATCTGGAAAATGTTAAATAGTAATTCCAAACTTTTCCATGAACTTTGCTCAGGAATTCTGAAGCATCAAAGCTAATGGCTGGATTTGGCAACCTTAAGCAGTCATCCAGTCTTGTGTAAAGTCAGAGGAGGTAGGACAGGCTGATCTGAAGTCCTGCCCTGGAACAACATTCAGATGATGGATCTCCACTCTCAAGCCCAATCCCATTGACTGCACTGTTTTTCCTACTCCTCTCTTCTCTCACAGCTATAGTTTAGATTTATCCAGTCTTCCCCTGACTGCTTCTGTTTTACATATTCAGGTAGTAAGCAAAATACATGGCACAGGTAGCCAAAGTACAGTAGTTCTAAACAGCGAAGCACAAAAACTCATAACTCAAAGTTTAGAATCTACAAAAGGATAAGAGACAAAGATTTTCTTTATCTCGTCTTCAAAGTGCTTTGCTCTATTTGCCTGATGGTGCATGTTCATGCGTGATGCACGCAGTGCTGGCAGTTCATGGGTTCATGCAGTAAGTAAAGTAAGCACAGAGTTTAAAGTTTAGCGGTCTTAATTGGTTGAGTCTGGAACCCCTCAGTGTTCCAGGCCACCGGAGTCTTAAGCTTGTCTTAAACACACAGGTCTAATCTGGGACCAGATGTCTTGTCTGGTCTCTGTTTTCCTCTGAAAAACAAGGAGCCCAGGCCAGAAATCTCAGCTCTGTCTGCTGTGATTCGTTCTCAGGACAATTAAACCATTTTGCTTTATGAATGATGCTCCAACAGTTCAAACTGTGTGAACTTGAGTCTGGGAATGATAAAGTTACAAAGGTTTAAGTTACCTCAGATCTTTAAAGAAGTATGCCAACAAATGTGCTGTTTGTAGTGTAACCTTCATCTCAAAACATTTTTATATATACATACATGTAGAAAAAGTTACCATGTTCATATGTTAAAATGCAGTTTCCTATGTCTTTTTATTTTATTTTATTTTTTTAATTATTTCAGCCAAACCTCCTTACCTTGACTTCTTAGACCAACTTTCATTAGAGCTTTGCCAAAGTATTCACATCCTTTAAACTTTTTCACATTGCTAACTTAGTTGTATTTTATTTGGATTTTGTATAATGGATCAACCCAAACTAGTGCTTAACTGTGAAGAGTGTTTGTTTTCATCCCCCCCTTTTTTATTCTGACGCACCTGAACAAAATCGAGTGCAGCCGCCTTCATAAAATTTAATCTCAGGATAAAAGGAGCTGCTCCTTTGAAGACATCAGAGGTTTGTTGAGATTATTAGTGAACAAACATCACCATGAAGAGTAAAGAACACAGCTGACAGGTCAGGGATAAAGTTGTGAGGAAGTTTAAAGCGGGGCTAGATTAAAACAAAACAACATAGAAATAGGAATATCCTTTAATATCTCACTGTGGAGGAAAATCAGGTGCAACAGCAGTAAGTTTGAGATTCACACAAAGGTAAGTAAATTTATACAAATAAGGACAAGACTGTAGAGTAAGGGCACATTTACAACATAAGATAAATAATACTGCACTGTTTCTAAACATAGCTACTTGGATTATGTGCAGCTGAGTAAGATTTTTAAAGAGAAAAAAAGTCTTCAAAGTGCAAACATTTCTGCAACAATGCAATTCAAAATGCTTTATGTCATAAACGTATAAAGCAATAAACATTACATTTTGTCAAATGCCATCATCAAGCAACTATACATCAAATATACATCTTAATGTATATTTGATGTATACCTCGATATGTTCCTCCTAAACCAGAAGACTTGAGTGGATAGTAAGTATTTAAATAAGAAATTAAAAATCTATGCAAATGACAGCAGAAATGTTTTGAAATTAGAAACTGGGCAGCAGTTATGTTGACACCGAGTCTGATTCTTAAGTCTTGCAGCTGCTGGAAGGAAGGATCTATGTTGATGCCCCTTTGTGCACTTACGATGCAGCAGTGCTTCATTCACTATAGGAGCTTTGCAGTTCAACAACCGGTTGATACATGTGATGGAAGACATTGTCCAACGGGGACCTTAGGATGTTTGCCAGGCGTCTTCTGTCTTTCAACGCTTCCATTGGGTCGAGGGGACATCCTAGCATAGAGCTGGCCTTTCTGTTGACTTTATTTTAGGGATGACGAGATCCTCTGGTCAGGTGGGAGAATCTGTTGACAGGATGTTTCCTAGTGATTCAGATTTGGTTTTTGAGCAAAAGTGAAAAGATGTCAAAAGAAAGCATTGAAGATGAAAAATTGAACTTTTTAAGCCTAGATGCAAATTGCCATGCAACCTGAAAATGCCATCACTGCTGTGGAACATGGTGGTGGCAACGTTATGCTATGGGGACAGGAAATTGGTCAGAAACAATGGTTGGAGCTAAATCCAGGACAGTTCTGGATGGACACCTGTTAGAGGCTGCAGAATATTTACGACATGGGATGAGATCCACCTTCCAACGGGACAACGACCCTAAAACGTACAGCCAGGCCTTCTGTGGAGTTGAATTGATGCTTTGTGTTGGTTTATCACAAAAAATCATAATGTGATACTTTGAATTCACATAAAGTGCATACAAGATTACAGCTATAATGTGACAAACTGAAAAAGGTAAAGAACTATAATCGCTTTTGGAAAGCATTGCAGATTTACCCGTTCACCGGGAAGTCAGTTTCCTGAAAGTCTTCTCTCTCTGCGCCATATAAGGATGACCTTACTGAGTTAACTCTAAAGATGAGGTCAGTTCTATACTCGGAAACAGCCATCGGCAGAGCATTTATTGCATTTCATATCTCAATCTTGATCTGGCTTGTGAAGGACCCAAATAGAAGTAGAGACCGGGCCAGCTATAATAATGACAGTAAGGTGGAGAACTGCTGTGAGATGGACACTGTGAGATTATTCTCTTAGTGGAGTTGCGTGGGACTTAATCTTTATAGGCTCGTCAGTGCTGAGGGAACATATGGAGAAGGGTTCAGTCTCTCTGCTGGAGACTGGTGTAACGTGGGCGTGTGTGCCGTAGTGTGTTTGTTGTATATATGTTAGTGATTTTTAGCCTGGCTCAAGGCCTGTTGGCGTTCTAAACTTCCTTGTTTGGACTGTCTCTCCATTGTTTCATTGTGATTTCCTTTCTCGTTCCCCTCTTTGCATTTCTCTTCCTGATGCCATCCCAGGTCACAGTTTTTTTTCTTTTTCTTTTTTTCCCTTCAGCTTTCATAAGTAAAATTCTCAGTCTCATGCTATGCTGTGGCATGTTCTAATATGGATTTTGCACGAACACAATTGTTCTGTGAAAGCCTTGATCTGCCCTCAATCTCATTAACACCAGTGACCCTGGAGACGTTTTCTTTTTTAAATTTCTTGTTTGAAATCATCCAGTAGAGTGCTCTGCATTTCTCCACAGTCAGAACTGGTCAAAACTGACTCAGTAGTGTTGGTCTCCACCTCTTGGTTAAGTGTAAAGCGTGTTACAGTCTATAATTAAGTATATTCATGCACTTGCACAGTAATCCTCTCTATTGTGTCCAACAGAAAACATGCTTATTTTCATGGATTTCAGTATTATGGTATTGCTGCATGTGAATTTTACTCTGACAGAGCTTGATATTGTATTTAGAGATGTTTGTCAAGAAAAAAAAATCCCTTTTGGCAAAATTAGGGAGTGTTAACTTGTTTTGATTTTTGAAAATGTTCTAGGGTCGTATTTCTTTTAAAATGGAAATTCCCCATCGAATCCCTTCGGTCTTGTCATTTTGATTCCTCTGTCTTACTTTTGAAAGCTGTCATGTTAAAGTAATTAAACTTCTAATAACTCCATCCCCTTAACTTAAAACTTTGAAAGGAAATGGAGTTTAGATATTTACATCAAATTTAGGTTGTCGTGTGGTTAACATTGGCGACTGGAATGTTACCAACGTTCCATTTGGAATGTTCATTAATATAAACTGAAGGAAATCTGTTCATATTAATGATAGTGTTGAATATTGTAATGATATTTATTTTAATTTACCCACATTTTCATTGATTGATAATGTTTTTCCATAATTGCCGTAAGCCCAGCACTTTCCCTGAGTTCTGACATCTTGGTCACAGAGATCTATTTCAGTTTTGCGCTTAAACAACAAATGTGTGCAAAACTTTGTCAATATTCCAGTAATGTTTATAAAACACAATTTTATAATTGCAACGTTTCCATTAAATAAGAAACATAATAAAATTGTAGGTGAATAAGTTTGTTCACGTGACAAGTTGTCATGATCAGTCAACAACTTCCTCTTGTCTTCTTCTTTGTGGTTTGCACCAGCGCCAACATCTGGTTGTTGACCATCTGACTTCCATTGCGGT